GCAGGGGGGGGGGGGGGGGGGGGCCATCGCATCTGTGTCTGTGTCTGTGTTGTGTTTCTGTCGGTCTGTCAGGAGGTGTAGCTAGCGGTGCTGCCGATGCGAAGGTCAAGAAGGAGGAGAAATCGAACGCTGAGAGCGTAAGTGACGTGACGGCCACACCACACTATACCAACAGAGAGAGGGAGGGAGGGAGGGAGGGAGGGGCCGGGGGCATTCATGTGTGCGTCTCTCTCTCTCTCTCTCTCTGCCTGTGTGTGTGGTCAGTCGTTTCCTGAGGGTGAGGACGAGGACGAGGACATGGAGCCTGTAGCCCAGGAGGTGCGGTACAGAGACAACACAACACAAGACAGCCAGCCAGCCACCAAACAACCGACACAATCACATTGGGAGGGAGGGAGGGAGGGACCATTGGGGTGTGTGTGTGTGTGTTAGGATGAGGACGAGATGGGCGACGAGGATGGAGGAGAGGAGCAAGAGGTGACCACAACACAACCAACACACACATTCACCGCACCCTGCCACACCCCACACCCCTCTCATGTGTCCTTGTCTGGACAACCAGGAGGAAGATGAGGAGGAGGAGGCCGACGACGAACAAGACGAGGACCAAGGTCCCCTCCCCCCCTCACCCCCACACACACTCCCATATACCATGGTGGTGTGTGTTGGTTGATCCAGACGATGAGGAGGAGGGTGAGGGTGACGAGGAGGAAGATGGAGAGGAGGAGGACGACGACGAGTACGCCCGGTCAGTCGACGACGAGCTGGCCGAGGACGAGTTTGCCGACGACGACGACGAGAGCGAATTCGACCTCCACCCCCCCAACGGACCCACACCTGGCGTAGACGTAGCAGCCACATTCGACCAGCAAAAGGTACGCACACGCACACACACACACACACACATGAGACGCACACCAAGTGTCCATCCATCCATGTGTGTGCCCAGGCGATCGACTCCCTAGCGCGCGACCCCCGCAACCCCTCAGACTACCACCGTGACTACTTCCAGGGCGGCCAGAGCGTCATGCCCAACGGCCAGTACGGAACCCCCCTCAACCAAGGCGATGACCGCCATGGGCAGCACATCCCGTGGAAGAGCCCCGACAGGGTGGCCAGTGCGGGTGGAGGTGGGCATCATGCGCTGGACAGCCTGACGCGGCAGCGGCGCAAGGGTCTGTTCAAGTCGCTCAAGAAGAAGGAGGATGACGACAACTATGAACTCACCGACAATGAGGCGTAAGCAAGCGACCAGAGAGCAGAGGCCAGCCAGGGCGGAGGGACGGTGTGTGGGCATGTCTGCCTGTCTGTCTGTGGTGTGTGTATGTGTATGTGTTTGTGTCAGTCCTGACTATGACGAGGATAAGGCCGAGCAGGAGCGCTCCAAGAAGTTCGTACCTGCCTGGTGCGCCACGCCTGCCACCACACACCCAACACAATGACTGACTCCACAAATGTTGCAATCAATGCGTGTGTATATCTGTCTGTCCCTGTAATGTGTGTGTGCCCCTCCCTCCCTCCCTCCCTCCCTCCCGTCCCCCTCCCCCCTCTCTCTCTGTGTGCGTCAGGGCAAAGGGGAAACGGTGGCGTGGGGAGTGTCGGCGGCAGCTCGACTGGGACCCCGACACCATTTTCGGCATCGGGCTGCCCGTCGTCAACCTCAAGAGTACGCGCACACACACACACACACACACACACACAGCCAGCCAGCCAGCCAGCCGAACGGACAGACCCCCACACCATCAGAGGCCTCACAAGTATGTTTGCTGGTTCGTTCCGTTGGTTGATTGATCCATCCATCAGCGATGTTGCAGAGCCACGCGCACATGTACGCGGCGCAGAGCCGCCCCAACGCCCTCGAGCGGCCCAGACGCTCGTCGGCCGTCTGGAAGGGCCGCGACAAGTGAGGGAGGGAGGGAGGGAGGGAGCGGCGAGACGGATGCGCACAGACGGACTGACCGTTGGGTGGCTGGATGGTCCGCTGTGCTGTGCGTTGGGTGCAGGTTGACGATAGATGAGGTGCGTTGCTATCGCAAGGCGTGCATCCACAAGCTGGACGTCTCGGACATGCTCTTCGACACACCACCACCCAAACGACATAACGCCAAACCGCCCAACCCGGTATTTCCCCCCCACCTAGACGTGTGTCTCCCTCCCTCCCTCCCTCACTCACTCCGTTGCCCCATCTCACCAGGTGCCTTTCGCTCCGGCTGGTGCCGAGGCTTCGGGCAATGCTGGCGGCCGTGTGCCCATGGCAGCAGCAGCAGCGGCGGCCGCAGCAGCAGCAGTGGGAGGGGGCACCCCCGGCAAGCACTTCTACCCCCAACACCACCACCATCAGCAGCAGCTGTCGGGCCTCACCCCTCCAGGCGTATCGAAGAAGGGCCCCCACTGCCACCAGCACCAGCAGCATCAGCAGTATCAGTATCAGCCGTACCAGAAGCCGCAGGCGGTGTCGAAGCTCAAGGAAGGGGGGTTCCTCGACCACGGCCCGCCGCTCAGACCGCCCAAGACGCCGCCCAAGACGCCACCGAAAACACCGCCCAAGAACACACCCAAGACGCCTCACAAGTAGGAGGAGTGATCCGAATCAGACAGACAGACAGACAGACAGATTTAGAGGGAGGGGAGGGGAGACGTAGCTAGCCGCTGGTTGTTGAAGAAGCCGCGTGGCTGGATGGATGGATGTCGACCGTGGTGGTTTAGGCGTACATGTTTGCGTGAGAAAGAGAAAGAGAGAGAGAGAGAGTGCGTGTGTGTGTGTGCGTGTATGTGTGTCTGCTAATTCAGCCCCAGGGGAGACACCACCCCCCCGTAGCTAGCCAAGCCAGCTGCCTGCCTGCCTGCCCCGCCTGTGCTGCTCCACTGCATTCCATTTGCCGCAGATAGAGAGACAGGCTCTGCGCGATGAGTGGATTCCAGCGAGTGGGGGCAGCGAAGGCGAAGGCGAGGCCAGTGGCGGATGAGTGAGTGACCTAGCTAGAGGGAGAGGGAGGGGACGGCAGGGGAGGACAGCGTATCTATCGAACGATCATGCAACGAATCTAGATCTAGAGGCCACCCAAATCATTCCGTTGCAGCCACACGACGTGTCAGCGCGTCAGTCAGTCCGATCCATTGACACACACATTCAGTCAGCTTAAAATCCTTCCAGACAGACAGAGGGACGCATGGGGGCGAGGCAGGCCAGGCTCCTCACTCCACTCCCACCACAAGGCCGTCAGTCAGTTGGTCAGTCTCTGTCGGCCCTGTCGCGGTCCTCTCGTGCCTTGAGTCGCACCAGGTACTGGGACTTGATCATCAGCTGCTTCGTCTTCTCTACCACCTGCACCGCAGCAACCAAGGCAAGGCAAGCAGCCCATCACATGGATCACATAGATCACATCACACCATTTTGGCTGGGCTGCATTGAATGCCCGCCTGGCCCGCCCTGCCCTTCAGTTCATTGAACTGACTGACCTGTTGGTAGACGTCGGGTATCTGAGCCGAGATGACCACCCGGTTCTTCTCGCTGTCGATCTTGGCGTCTGCAGCACACACACACACACACACACCCCTCAGACAGTGGTGACCCTGTGGTTGTTGATGTGTGTGGGGGTGTGTGTGTGGGGGGGGATGGGTGGGTGTGGCCAGCCTGGCTGAGTGGCTGAGTGGCTGACCGACCCACCGAGTTTGGCGGTGCGGATGAGGTTGACGATCCACCGCTCGGCCTCCTCGGACCGCATATTCAGCTTCTGAGCTATCACCCTGGTGGGTCGGTCATCACACACACAGACAGGCAGACAGACAGGCAGACAGGCAGACAGGCGCACAGCACACCGACACACACACAGTGCACCCAGTGTGTCAGGGGTCAACTGATGGCAGACTCACTCACTCACTGATTCACTCACTCTAGGTCGATGGCCGAGTGGATGGAGCAGTAGGTCTCAAAGATGGTGAGGCGAGACGCCTCCTCCAGCGCACTCCTGAACGGCTGCAGGAAGTAATCCACACGCGCCGCCTGCTCACACACACACACACACACACACACAGACACAGATCGATGTGATAGCGATGGACTGACAGTCAGGTGTGTGTGTCTGTGTCTACGCTATGTGGCCATTTGGGTGGGTTTGGTACGGTGCGTTACCTCGTTGCACCTCTGGAGGTGGTATCTGGCCATGTCGAAGTCGAGGTCGTTGAAGACCGCACAGAGCAGCGACGTGAACGGGTCGGAGATCTTGTGACACACCTGGGATATCCCCTGCAGTGAGTGCACAACACAATCACACACACACACACACCCCTCCATCCCATCAAATGCTGCCATGCCATGCCATGCCACGCCTCCGTCTGTGTGTCTGTCTGTGTGTGTTTCCTTACCTGCAGGACGGATTGCAGCTCTTTCCGTCTCTTGAGCAGAATGATGCACACGGCATAGTAGCGGAACAGATGGGGACACAGCAGCTGAGTCGTCACCAGGTTCCTGGCTCCACGTCACACACACACACACACACACACACATTCACACACACCATGGCCTTCCTCTCCTCCCTGTCTGTGTCCGTGTCTGTCTGTGGCTGGCTGTTGCTCCCTCCACTAAGCCAGTCAGAGCCACCACCCGAGCCGAGTGAGCCCTTACTTCTCATGAAAGAAGAAGTCGAGCAGTCTGTTCTTCTTGTCGTTGAGCTGCGATCGGTCCTCGGGCCGCTGCGTGTCCATGAAAGACGGGTTGAGGAAAAACAGAAACAGCGGCCATATCGTCCAGTGCAGCAGCCATGCTCGCTGCAGTCGCGCCTCACGCTTCCCCAACTGCATGAGCCACACACACACACAAAGAGGCAGGTGCCGCGAATGCGTCGCTCTAGATCTCATCTACGGCGATTTCAAGATTGCCTTGGTGGTGGGCTGTTCGAGGAGTGAGTCGATCTCGAGAATGCGTGTGGCGGACTGCTCGGGGCCGTATGTCCGCAGGGGGTGGTTCTCATCCAGCTGGTAGCCGTTCATGCCGCCCGCCTCCTCTATCATCTCGTTGAGGTCCTGCTGGGCCTGCACGCTGTTGAGGATGCAGCTGGCCAGGGTGCCCCACAGGCAGTTGAGCCGCTTGTCGAAATGAGCGCCCTCAACGGTCAGCTCGCTGCAGGGGACGCAGCCAGGCAGGCAGGCAGGCAGCCAGGCAGGGGAGATGATGCCATCGATGAGTGAGTGTGTTGTGTTGTGTTGTGTTGTGTTTGATTCCCCACCAGACGCCCTCGAGGTAGATGGAGAGGTGGTAGGCGGCGTTCATGTAGTTGCCAGTCTTGAAGAGGACCTTGGCGTACTTGAGCAGACGCTCGTCGGCATCCAAGGGAAACTGATGCAATCGATGCACGCACGACAGACAACCCTTGACTGACTGACTGACCGACTGACCATGACCTTCATCCCTTCCTCCGTTGTGGTGCTCGTGACGTGCATCGCTCACCTCTCTGAAGTTCTCGGTGTCCTTGTACTTGTTGTGGAGCTCAGCGACGGATGTGCGGCCGCTGGGCGAGCCGTCGTCGTCACGATCCTACAACACAATGCACACACACCCGTGGGCCACCTGTCTGTGTGGGGTGGGTGAGTCTGTGTGTCGTGTGTCGGACGACACCGACCGACCTGTTGCTGCCTGTCGAGGTTGTACTTGGACAGTGATTCGACGAAGCCGGCTGTTTCGGCCTCGTACTCTTCCAGGTGCTGAAACACCTCATCGCGACGCACATCCCACTCTGCACACACACACACACGGACACAGCTCACACAGATGCACTCAACACAGCTCGTCTGTGTGTGTGTGTGTGGGTGTGTGTGTCTGGGTGGCTGAGGTGTCGTCCTGCCGCAGCCGCACCGGATTTCTTTTCGATGCCCTGTTCGGCAGCGACCTCCTCGAGGTAGTCCATCATGTCGGTCTTCTCCAGCAGCTGGATCTTGACGCGAGCCAGGTGCTCGGGCGGATACAACTGACCCAAACACACACACACACACACACACACACACAGAGAGAGAGAGAGGGAGGGAGGGAGGGAGAGAGAGAGATGACAGGTGAGGTGAATGCAGACAGACAGGCAGGCAGACAGACAGACCCATCGATGGCGTGCAGATCTGCCTACAGGTACCTACCTCCAGCTCTTCGAGGAAGGATATGAGGGGGAAGATCATGTGGATGTCCCAGTAGGGGCACATCCTCTGGCTCAAGTCGTAGCTTGCCAGGCTCTCCTCGCCACCATTGTACGCCAGGCCGTCAATGCCCTCCACCTTCCCACCACCAGATGCAGATGCAGACGCAGGGCCATCCATTGCACCCTCACCAGGCACGTCGCCCATCTTCGTTGTGTGCTCCTTCAGCCCTTTTCGTTTTCTCCTCCTGCTCTCATCAGTGTCTCAGTGGATCGCTAAGCTCGCAGGCTGTCTCTTTGAGGAAACAAGGATAGAACCAAACGTGCCTTGGCCACGCAATAGGCTGTTCCGCTGACTTTTGAGTGAGAGCCGTGAGCAGGCTGTTTTGTGTTGTTTGAGGTGGTGTTGAGGATGTTGACGAGAGGTGCGCGTCCGCTGGCTGCCCTGGGAGGTCAGGTGGTGGCTCAGGCTGCTCGCCCGTTCGCGACGGCCGTCGCTACGAAGACACCCAGGCTGCAGAAGTTCAAAATCTTCCGGTAAGACACGCGAACACACACGCACACACGCAGAGAGAGCAGAGATGCCTTCCTGCCTCCCTGGCTGCAGCCAGCCACATAGAGCTGGAACAGAGCATTGACAGAGGAGGACAGGGGAACCATCCCATCACATGTGTCCCTTCTCGTTCTGTGTGTGTGGTGATCCCCCCCACCTGGCAGGTATGACCCCGAGACTGACAAGCGGCCGAAGATGCAGGAGTACACGCTGGACCTCAACACGTGCGGCCCGATGATGCTGGACGCGGTGGTCAAGATCAAGGACGACGTCGACCCGTCCCTGACCTTCCGCCGCAGCTGCCGCGAGGGCATCTGCGGGTCGTGCGCCATGAACATCAACGGCAAGAACGGCCTGGCCTGCCTCACGGCCATCCCGCAGGGCCCTTCGCCCATCGAGGTGCAGCCGCTGCCCCACATGTATGTGCTCAAGGACCTGGTGCCCGACATGACCAACTTCTACAACCAGTACAAGAGCATCGAACCGTGGCTCAAGCGCAAGACCCCAAAGGTAGGTAGTAGGGTGTTGGGCGGTGGGGTGGCTAACGGATGTGTGTGGTGTGTGATGTGATGTGGTGTTGGGTCAGGCGCCTGGCCAGAAGGAGTATCTGCAGTCGAAGGAGGACAGAGCCAAGCTCGACGGCATGTACGAGGTGGGTGGGTCGACTCGACCATCAATCACTGTTGGTTTTCTTGGTCTCACTGGTTGTGTTGTGTCTTGCCCTTCCCTCCCTCCGTTGCCACCCCGTGTGTGTCTGCAGTGCATCTTGTGTGCGTGTTGCTCGACGTCATGCCCCTCCTACTGGTGGAACCCCGACTACTACCTCGGACCCGCCGTACTCATGCAGGTCAGGCAATCACTCACACACACACACACACACGAATTGAGTTGTGCAGACTGACTGACCGACCGGGGTGGTCAGACAGGTCACTCGAACACCCGTGACGTGTGTGTGAGTGTGTGTGTGTGCGTGTGTGTGAGTGCAGGCCTATCGGTGGATAGCAGACAGCCGTGACGAGTACACGACTGAGCGGTTGGCGGCCATCAACGACACCATGAAGCTCTACAGGTGCCACGGGATCATGAACTGCACCGTCTGCTGCCCAAAGGGTACACACGCCACAGCAGAAACACACGGAATTTGATTGACGGTGAGGTGAATATCGGTGTGCGGTGGGTGTGGTGTGCAGGTTTGAATCCTGCTGAGGCGATCAAGAAGATGAAGGCCGAGGTCGAGGCCAATTATAACACGGGTAGGTACTTGAATGAAGACAGCTTCTTCGCACGATCGCATGATCACATGATGGGTACCCGCACACACAGAGTCAAGTTGCTGTGTTATGCCGGTGGTGCGCTCAGATTGGAGCAAGGTGTTGATGAAGGAGGCCGAGAAGAAGACGGCCAAGGCCATGGCGAAATCGGCACCAGCCGCCGCCACACAGACGGCCGCCGCATAGACAAAGAGAAAGACCGACAGACAGACCGACAGGCGTGTGTCTGCCTGTAGCAAAACGGTCGATGCGCGTGTGCGTATGTATCCCTCCCTCATCGGATCGGGTGACTGACTACTTACTGTCTGCGTGTGTGTGTGTGTGTGCGTGTGTGTGTGTGTGGTGCCACCCCCTTTTCCAGCCAGCCAGGCGGGCAGTCGGGCATGGCATTCTGTTTTCTCGGTAGGTAGCCCGCCAGCCACGATGAGGGCAGGCAGGTGACTGACTGGTCAGGGCCTGCGAAGTGAAGCTTCGCAGTGTCTGCTCTGCTCTGTATGCACGTCAGTCAAAGTCAGTCACCTGTGAGTCCGTGAGTACATCAGATCGCCAGCCAGCGAGAGGAGCCATCCCATCCACGTTTGTTTCCACTGATGGGTGAGGGTGAGGGTGTTCGGTGTTGTGGGTTTGGCGAGTTGGGTGGGGGGGATGAGGGGGGGGTGGATGGGATGGATGTCTCTTTGTCGTGTCACTGCCTGGCTTGGATTGGACGGACCGGCCGGCGGATGTGATGTACAGGCGTGACTGACGTGTTGAAATGCATGCGTGTGAGGGTGGTGGGTGGGTGGAGAGTGCGTCTAGTCGGTTGGCGGGCGGGCAGCCAGCCAGCCAGCGTCAGTCAGTCGTAGTGTGTTCACGGTTTTTGGACACGCCACTGCTGCTCGTGGGGGGGAAGGAAGCATGCGTGGCGATGGGGGATGCTTGCATCTGTGGTGCGTACTCGAGCACGCAATTCAGACACGAAATTAGCTGTTTTAGAAGGCGACCCGTCTACCCAACCACACCCACACTCACACCAACCACCAGCAGAGACGATGGGAAGGGGACCAATCGGGGCGGGCGACCTGCAGACATAGACAGGAGAGAGAGAGAGAGAGGGTGTGTTTAAGGTATGTCGGTGTGCTGTGCACCAACCCGTCCTTTACAACAGTACCTACCCACTGCTATTTGCCCACCATGTTGTCGATAGCTCCCCGGATGTGTGATGCATTTGTGAGCGCGTGAGTCTGTCTGCTTGTCTGTCTGTGAGAATGTGTGGCTGACGTGCGTGTGCAGTCGTGCCGTTGTGATGTTACGGTGCATGAGCGGACAAGCAACCGATTGGATATCTGTGTTTTTTCGTCAACGCCATTCACTGCTCTTCGATGTCGAGATTTCACGGCCGCGAAGAAATACACGGCGAGCTTCATGGCCGTCCTCATGCAAGAGTGTTCCCATGCGTTGCCATGCACGTCGCATTGATGCATCTCAAATGACACGATATGCATCTTCCACTGTGAGGCTTGCTTGGCGCGTTTGATGTACGGCCCGTTCCAGCACCTGTGGGAGGATGTGCGGCAGGCATGTGATGAGCAGATCGCACGAGAGATCACACAGATGGGTGGGATGCAGGGCGTCAAGCTCTCCTTCATTCATGTGGTCATCTGCTTGTGCAGCGTTTGAGCCCTCCCATGCTGCTGCACGGCGGCCACCACGGCCCGTCTGAGTTCGTCCAGCCGGCGGACATCCAGCGCGTCCTCCAACGATTCGAACATGAAATGGCAAAGGTGACAGGTCTCGAGCATTCCAGGACACGCAGTGATCTGTGCTCTGTTCGTGTGTGGTGACCGATCAGTTCGGTGCTGCCCTGTGCACGACGCCTCTTTCTGAGCTGGCGTCGCTGCTGCCAGCGAGGGACAGCCTGTTCGACGTCTATATGGCCGTCTTGGCCACTCTGTCTGCCATTCGTGACTCCGCCAATGCCGGCCCAACGCTCTCTGACGATCTGCAAACCTGGGGTGGAAGCCTCACATCAGCCATACAGGTGCGGGTGGTGCGGTGTGCTGTGGTGCACGGCAGAGAAGGGGCGCAGCGCACACTCATTGATTGGGATACAAGAGTGCATTCCATCGCATTGGTCAGGACTTGATCGGCATCGCCGAGCAGCAGACGGACCTCGACAGCACCCCTGATCGGAATAGAAAGATCGCCGTGGCAGGTAGGTGCGTGCGGCTCAAGCAGACGACTCACTCATTCGCTCTATTTCTTTGGTTCTGCCTGCCTGGGTGTGGTGTGTTGAGTCAGTGGGTGTGGTGCTGGATCGGTGCAAGAAGCTGACAAAGGTCCCCCTGAACAACTCCGTGTCGGTCAAGCGTCACATCCTGTCGTGTTTCGCCACCGTCAAGGACGCCCAGCGAGAGCTCATGGGCGAGGTGTCACGGCAGCGAGAGCTGGAGGGCAACGGCCAGCAGGGCGGCGAGGACGACATGAACAGCCACGAGGAGGGCGGGGAGGCCGGGAACGGGTCGGACGATGCCGAGCTGGACAGTTGTGATGACATGATGGAGGAAGACACGATGACACCACAACAGCTGTACGAGGAGGGAGGGAGTGAGATCGAGTCGACGTGCATCCATCTGTCGGTCTGTCTGTCTGTCTGCTGGCTGGTTGCAGTGATGTGGCGGAGAAGGTGGCCGAGCTGCTGACGTCGACACGAGAACTCCTGAAAGGTACGTATGTGCAACCAGCATAGCCTGATCCACACCCATGCCATCCCCCTCGTGTGGGTCTCAGAAACGCTTCATGCGCTGACCAAGGGCGTGACTGCCGAGGGGTCTTGTGACGGCGACCGAGTGCAGCAGCTGGAGCAGCTGGGGCGCCACTGCGAGGATGTGGCTGCCCGGGTCGACGAGGCTGTGCAGGCTGTGAGAGTGTGTACACTTAGACGTACTTGTCTTGTGTCTGCTCTGCACTCCTCGCCCAGCCCAATCGCTTCTATGACAGACTTGTGATGTGCTTGCCTTGCCTGCAGACGTATCCCCCACAGGAGCTGGCTCATCTGGATGCCATTGTGTCGAGAATGGCGTCATCGATGGGACAGATCTCACAGGGCCTTCACGAGGTCAGGCACTCAGTCAGTCAGTCAGTCAGCAGTGAGTGCACGGCATGGGGCAGTCGAGCCATTCACACCTGGATGTGTGTGTGTGGTGTGGTGTGGTGTGTGTAGGCGTGTGAGGTGCCCCAGGACCTCTCATCGTTCCAGTCCTACCAGACATCGATACAGGTCCGTCCACACACATGAAGACTGCAACACCCACCCCAGCCAGCTACGTGTGTTTCCTGTCTGTCCGTTGTATCGCTTCATTCAGACCTTCCACGCCTTCCTGGCTGCCCAGGGCGACGCGAGCACATAACCGCCAACGCACAGCACAGCACAGCACAGCACAGCACAGCAGAGCACACACACCACATGTACTGTACGTGTGCAGTCAGCCATAGGATGGGGTATTTGTGGCGTCTCTGACGGACGGACTCACTGATGGACTCACTGATCCGATGGCTGCGTGTGTGTCTGTGCGCTATGGACATGTGTGTGGCGACTGACGTCCTGAACACTCACTTGCGCATCTCTGGATCCCTTTGATCTTGCGGCCCTTCCCTGACGCTCGCTGCTTCCTTCTGGGGGAGGGGCATCTCCCGGTGGGGGAGGCGGTTTTGGCCTTCTTTCTGACTCGTCTCCCCATTGTTGGCTTCAAATGATGCGTGCAGAGCTCACGCGATGAAAGAAAAACTTCAAAGCTCCCCTTCAGCTCGCATCTCGACCTTCGATCTTTTGGAGAGGGAGGGGAAGAAGAGGTCCGGAAGTGCGGAGAGGCATCGTTGGGACGCAAGGGAGCGCTTTGGCCCTGTGGAGTGCTCGTCGGCCTAATTCGCTCATCCGGCCGCCCAGCCAGCCCGGAGCCACTCGAGAATGGGCATGGGAGGGCCACGAATGTCTGAAATCTTTCACCTGGTGCTGGTTGCCCCGCTGTTGCTGATCCATCCACGCCCCGCGTCGTGCCAGAGCAAGATTGATCTCACGGTGACGCCGTCTCCCCTCAGCACCTCCCCGGCCGGCAGCTGCATCGAGGTCGGCCTCTCTGTCAGCATCGACGACCTCTTTATTGGTGTGTTCCAGCTGCAAGCGCCCAGCGGCTTTGTCTTTCCGAATGGAATGGACCGGGGCTCGTCTGCCACATCGGAGTGTCTGTGCTTCGTGTCGGACTACCCCGCCTTTGATGTCACGTGCCAGAGCAACACGCTGTCCATCTACCACGACCAGAACGACCCCTCATACGTGCCCCTGACCTCTTTTGCAGCAAGGGTGTGCGTGCAAAACCCCAGGACGCCCCTCATTCGGCCGTCGACACAGGACAGATTCCAAGCGGTGCTGGCGCCCGACTATGAGAGGCTGGACCTCATCACGGCGAGAGGGACGGTGCCTGCATGGTCTGTTTATCCCTCTGTCGAGCGGACCTCTGCTCAGCGGACTGTGGGGTCGGCTCTGTCGGCGAAATTGTCGATTGCCTTCTGTCCTGACAACGTGGCGGAGGTGGAGGTGATTGCGCCTTCATTTGACCTCTCAGCGGCCCAGCTGAAGAGCGGCACCGTGGACACGACCATCTCGGTGTTGTCGAGGGGCACAGATGCCTTGCGGCTGTCCCTCACGCCAGTGGTGCCATATCTCGTCCCTGTGGTGATCCTGATGGAGGGCTTGACCCACCCCTCGGCGCCAATGCGGCAGAGTGTGTGGACGGTCCGAGCGTATGGCGGCGCCAACCAGGGAGAGGTAGGGGGCGTCACCGACACGGAGGCATTCCCTGTATTGGCCCTGCTGGACACGCGGATTGTTGCTCGGAGCGATGGGAGGTATGCAGCCCTCGCCAACACGGTGACGTTTGAGGTGACTTCGTCACATGACATCGGCGCCCACGAGTGGTGAGACACCACAACCACAATAAAGGCGGAAGAGGAAACGAAGTCTCTTGTGTACCTGGTACCATGTCCTCCGCAGGCTGGCTGTCGCGTCGCCGTCCGGGTACAAGATCGACGCAGCATCCTTCACGCCCCTCGCAGGTTTCCCAGCTGGCAGCGGTTCGTGTGCTGGCATATTCGATACAGACCTCTGCAGCGACACCACCATCCTGACGCAGACAAAAGGCGCTTTGCCAGCCAACACCTCAGCAAGGTTCCGTTTGACAGTGCAGAACCCTGCCTTCGCTGCCAAGGGCAGTGCACCCCTTTGGCTGATTGAAACAAGGTGGATGGGTGGGCGCGGGGACACAGAGAGAGGTGTGATGTGTGTACGTTAAGGTGCACTGATATGTGATGTGTGCAGCTCAGGTCTTCCGCGTTTGAAGATCTGACCACGAACGATCGCGCCCTCACAGACCCACCGCTCATTGGAAGTGATGACCGCAAAGGTCGACCAAACTGTCCCACTTATTCGTCTGTGTGTTGTGTGTCGTCAGTGCTGCTCGATACAGTCATCATGGGCAATTCCACGGCGCCAGAGACCTCATCCACGGTCACGGTTGTCTTCCGCCTGTCTCATCCCATCTATCTCCCTCAAGCGGCAGTCGAGACACACGGCGTGGCGCTGAGAGTCACACTCACCCCGCCACCAGGTGTTGCGCCGTCACGCGAGGCGTCTCTAGGGCTGCCATCCTCCCACTATGAATACTCTGTCGACGAAGACTGTCGAGCGGCGGGTGAAGGGCCTCCGGCTGAAGACCTGCTGAGGTTGGCAAATGATTTGTCAAATGAAGGCGCGTCGCTGCCTCCGAGTGTCACCTCACTCGCCGTCTCATCGTGCGCGGCCGAACACACAGAGCAGGACAATTCGGCAGCCATATCCTTCGTGCCCTTCTCTGTCGACCTTCCCCCCCTCGCCGGCGACAGCACCAGTGGCTTGTACCCTGTCCTCGGGACGTCGTCATGGCGGTCATTCAGCTTCCAAATTACGAACCCGCGACGTCTATCAGGCGGCAGGAGGTGGCGTTTGACTGTTGAGGCCATGAGTTCGGGTGCGTGGCAGCTGACGCATCAGAGTGCTGACGTCAGCAGCCCTCTCGCTGATGTGGGGCAGCTGCCTGTGCTTGTAGACAGCAGCACACCTATCGTGGGGGAAGAAAGTGCCGTGTCCATCTTCTGGCGTCCAACTGTCTCTGCTACAAGGCCGCCATCTCGACGGCTGTCTGGTGGTAGTGGCCATACAGGAAGGCTGGGAAAGAGGAGGCGCGCACAGAATGGTGAGAAGCACCGCACACAGACGATGTGGATGGACGGATGGATGGATGGAGAGATTGTGTGTTGTCTCTTTCATCGGTGCAGGTGCAGACGACGTAACCGCTGTGTTCATCTTGCTTTGTCCCGAGGGCGTGACCACCTGCAGGTTTGCATCGCGCCAGGCGTGCATCAACGCCGACCCGCCGCAGCAGCTGTCGGCCCCCTCGGCCCTTGTGCCCACCCCCCGCCCCATGCCGCTCTACAGGTGCACCACCGAAGCGATTGGCGGTACAATTGTGCTCAAGGGCCTCACACAGTCACTGGCTGCGCTCACCAATGGACAGGTCAGGTGGATTTGACCAGCTCAGCTGCAACCGATCGACGACGATTTGGCCGTCCTTCCCTGTATGCCATTCATTGTCCAGGTGTATGTGATTCACGTGGATGTGCGGCAGCCGAGTGCGGCCAACACGGCAGGGTGGACAATGGAGCTGTACAACAGCGACGGGCAGAGCGCGACTGATGTCTCGAGTATTATGCTCAGCTCTCAGCTGGTGGCCGCGACCTTCAGCGCACAGGGGTATTCTCTCCTCTCGAGCGACCAGGAAATGCTCCCAATCACTGTAAGCAAGTGAATCAAGTCCCTTGATGCGTCTGTCCATGAAACCATGCTGTTTGGATGGTACCATCAGGTGGTCCCGACGAGTCGCGCAACAAGCACCTCCACCAAAGCGTCAATCACATTCGATATCACACGGGCCGTGCCGGTGTCTCTCCCATCGTCCATCACGCTTCGGCCGCCAATCGCCGTCCAGATCGACTGCAGCGAACCCATATCACTGTCCCTGCCCACAGGCTTGCCACTCACCACTTGGCCTCCGTCCAGCACGTGCCAGCCTGACGCCATCGGCAGCACGGTGCTGACGGTGACGCTGGACCCCTCACAGGGGCTGGCAGAGGGCAGATATGGGCTGCTGGTGTCTGTGAGCCATCCGAGTGCTGGATTGTCGGCTGGTGTGGGCACGGGGTGGCGGGTGGAGGTTGTTGTTAGGGGCCAGCTGTACGGCATGGGCATCAAAGACAGCTACGAGACGAGCGAGGATGAGCCAACATGGGATCAAGGTGCACAACTTGATTGAGCCATTCACTGACACGTCAACGGACGTGCACATGTTTGTCAGCGTCTCTGTCTTTGTCAACCAGATCTGGATGGGATATCTCGGGGCGCAGCCTTTGGAGGTCAGCTCAGATCAGCAGACCGCTCACCAATCGACACTGGTCCAGCTGCCTCTGTCTTTCCTCTATATCCCCCCAGATTGTGAGGCTGTAGCTCTGAAGGTCGCCTCAGCCGACCCGTCAGTACAGCTCGCGTCATCGATAGTCACCGAGGGGACTACAGCTGGCTTCATCACCTTAGGGCAGGTGGGCGGGGACTATCGGCGGGCCGCGCCAGACATCGAGGGCAAACCACAGTGGACACACAAGGACAGAGCCGCCGTCCGCATCGAGTGGACCTACTCATACACAGGTGTGCAGTGCATGTCCGCATCAAGATGAATGTCATCTCGACCTTTGCGTGTGTGTGCAGGGGTGTGGCGAGTCATCGTCAGCGGATCTGGCTCGGTAGCGAGACAGACGGCCCTCTGGACGCCCCTCGACACGTCGCTGCCCCCGTTGGGACCTGTGTGGCGGAATGTTCATGGGCAGCTCGTCATTGTGAGACACACCGCACCCACTGGCAGGCAGTGTGTCGACAGACAAGTATACTGTCGACAAGTATACTGACTGACTGACTGATGCTTTCTGCCGATGGATGTTTGTGTCGCCCGCAGCTGTCTGGCAAGTGTGCCGAGTCGTCCAAGTCCGGCAACAACGTAGTGCTGCTGGTCATCTACGCGAGTGTCCCCACCACTGTGCTGCTGGTCATCGGTGTGCTGGTGCGGCTGTGGTTCATCCGGCGGAGGAAACAGAGATGGATTCGCAAGATATACACGACCCATGACGTGAGACTTTTCAGTCCATATCATCATCATGTATGGAGACACTCACACACACACACGCCTCTGTGAATGTTTGTTGTCCTTCAGACGAGCGGCGCGACGACTCATCGCGAGCAGAAAGAGCGGAAATATCTCCGTCTGCCGTCGTATTGGGAGACCAACCCACTCAAAGACCGTCCCGGACAGGCAGACGTGCCAGGGAGAACATTAACCAGCGACACCTCTGCAAGAGACGCTAAGGCAAAGGCGCACCTGCAATCTGAACGATTCGAGTCAGCGAATCATTCGGGGAGATGTGATCATCCAAAGAAGACAAGCCAGCCATGCTGCTCGTGATCATGCATGTGTGTGAGCAGGTTGGGTGATCGCGAGCGTCGGTTGGTGCAGCATCTCATGAACGAGACGTTCCTCGATAGACGCACAAGAGACAGGGAGGGCAGAATGCCCAAGTGGCTGAAGGTATATGGGCGGGAGGCATTCACTCGATCGGCAGGGCGCGGCGCAAGCGTGTGTTAACAATCTTTTGTTGTGGAGTGGACAGGTGACGAGCGTCCACCGCATCGAAAACCCCCGGCTGTGGACGGAGTACTGCGTCAAGAGATACGAGGTGATAAGGGCAGACCAGCAAACACACAGACGTCGATCGGTCGGTCCATCCCCGACCCGACGGTCATGTGTACTGACTGTACTGTGTCCGTCCGTCATTAGATGCTGCGCGAGGTCCGCACCCTGGAGGATGAGCTCTATAAAGTAAGCTAGTGGGCCGGTGTTGTCCGAATGCCAGTCAGTCAGGCCGGCCACGTACAGTGCATGTGTGTGCACCATTGCACTGCACTGCACTGCAGATGTCCAACATCCGCACCATGGCCGCCTGGCAACATGTCAACCCTGTGAGTGTTGCACACACTTGCCTGATTTGATTGATTGATTCATGCCTGATTTTCTGCATGTCGACCTGTCTGTCTGCAGTCAACGACCCATTCGTTGGTGCCCGAGGTCAACGAGACGTATCTCTTCCACGGCACCTCCATGGAAGCTGCAGAGGCCATCGCAGACAGCGGCTTCATGGTATGGACAGTCGGTCCGTCGCACACCCCCACACAAACATTGTTTACACGAGCAAGATCTTCACATACTTTTGGGTGCGTCGTCTTGTTGTGTCAGATCAAGCTCGCTGGCACTGGGGCGGGGACGCTGTACGGCAAGGGTATTTATTTCACTGAATGCTCGTCCAAAGGAGACGAATACACATCCACCACAGCAGCACCAGCCACCAGCACAGACAGAGACACCACCAGTGCCGCCACAGCCAATGAGGCCGACCCCCCTGTGTATTCAATGCTGCTATGTCGCGTGTGTCTCGGTCACATTTTCTGGACGCCCGAGGACAGACCGACCCCCATGCAGCTCTACAAGGTCAGTCACGTGCACATATGAGTGCAGTGCATGTGCACATCTCTGTTCAATGTCCCTGCATGTGTGGTGTGCAGCTGGTCAAGGGCGGTCCGCACCACAGCGTCCTTGGTGATCGCGAGACAGCAAAGGTAGCTAGACCAGACCAGCCCAGGCAGAGAGGGACAAGCCAGGCCGGTCATTTCGCTGTCCTCTTGTCTTTGTCTTCTGCAGGGGACATATCGCGAGTTCATCGTCTACGAGCCCGACCAAGCCTACCCCGAATACCGTAACCATGCAGCCTACAACACATACACAGATAGATATACAGAGACGCGCGCCGACGAACATCCCCCTCTTCATTCACTGGACTGGTGCAGTGATCCGTTATTGTCGTCGCGCCCACCCCAAGAAGTCGGAGAGAAGAAAGCGCAGACCCAAGGGCAAGACACACAAGCAGGCGGACATGGCCGAGGGAGAGCCGAGACACAGCGATGAGGCCATCGCATCGGAGGAGGAAATGTCGCCCGTGGCTGCTGGTGGGGGTGGGCGTGCGGGAGAGGCGAGGCGGCGGCGGTCTGAGGAAGCAGACAACAACGAGACGGACGTGTCAAGCGATGATACCCTGACAGACGGGCAGGACCGGGATGGGGGGAGGGTGGGGTGACGCAGAGAAAGTATGGATGTCACTGTAGGCATCTTTTGCGCCTAAGGCGATAAGGATTGGGCTCGTCTGTAGTTCGTGACGGTTAATCGGACACATGGAAAGACATGGCTGGTTCATGTGGATGTCGAGTCCCTTCGGGACCGCCGGTGTCACGCATCACATGAACACGCACACCAGACAGACAAAAATTAGTACACACCCTCTCACGTCGCCCGCCCCACACCCAAAACCAGTGAGTTCTCAGATGGCACAGGTCAGACAAATACACACAGGGAGTCTTTCTCACACTCAGTCAGTGAGATGAGTCAGTCGGGTCTGTACATGTCGGTCGCATCACTCACCACTCACACAACACACACATCCACACGCGGTCAGGCAGGCAGCGCTAAGCCCTCTCCCTACCCCCCGCCCCCGCCCCCGCTCCATTCGAAAGAGAGGGGCTCAAAACTGGCCAGCATCCATCCATCCATCCAATGCATTACTGGTCTAGCTATTTCCTTTTGCCGATCTTGGCATCCGTGTCCCTCTTGGCCATCCGCAGAAAGTTGGGAGTGACCTCGACCACCTCGTCCGGCCCGATGTACTCGACGGCAGAGTCGAGTGTGACCTCAATGGGCGGCACGACACCCTCAGTGATGGTCTTGGTGGCCGACCGCACGTTGGTCAGGGCCTTCTCCTTGCACACGTTGACCTTGAGGTCGTCGGGCTTGGCGTTCATGCCCACGATCATGCCCTTGTACACCTCCGTGCCGGGCGAGACGAACAGATTGCCCCGCACCTGGGCGTTGAGGATGCCGTTGGACGTCGCCTTGCCCGTCTCAGAGGCGAGGAGGGAGCCGCGCTCGCGAGGAGAGATGTCGCCAGCAAGCTGATGAACGGATAAAGAAGGGAGGAGACACACAAGTGATGGCGATGTCATGCCTGTCTGTCTGGAGTGTGTATGGTGGTGGGCGCTTATACCTTGCGATAAGAGTCGAACGTCGAGTCGATGAGCGCCGTGCCTCTGGTGAGGGTGAGGAGCTGGCTCCTCAGGCCGATGGACGCCCGCGTGGGCATGAGATACTCGAGACAGACGTTGCCCTCGTCGTTGGCCGGATGCATCTGGACCATCTCGGATTTCCGCACCTGCATCTCCTGCACCACCCCGCCCATATAATTCTCAGGCACCGTGATCTCCACACCCTCCCACGGCTCGCACTTCTCTCCGTCGATCTCCTTGATGATCACTGTCGGCGGCCCGACCGTCATCTCGAAGCCCTCCCTCCGCATGTTCTCGATCAGCACGGTCAGGTGCATCTGCCCTCTGCCCGAGACCTCATACGAGTCGCCCCCGCCGCCCTCAAAATCCACTTTTAGTGCCACATTCTTGTCAAGCTCCTTGACGAGTCGGTCGCGGATCTGCGCGCTGGTGAGAAGCTTGCCGTCGGGGTCCTTCCCGACGAGCGGGCTCTTGTTGACGCCAAGCGACATGCGAACAGTGGGCTCCTCCACCTTGATGGGGACGAGGGGCTGGGGGTTGTTTGGATCGACCACTGTGTCGCCGATCGTGAAGTCACTCAGACCCGAAAACATCACAATATCACCTGCACAACGCACCAAAACACATGACGTGTGTTTGGTTGCCCTCGTCGGTTATCTGTGTGTGCCCCGCCCTCTCACCTGCTGTCGCCTCCTCGACAGCGGTTCTGCCGAGGTTGTTGAACATGAAGAGCTCAGAGATGCTCCCGCGACGCACTGCCTCCCCTGGCCGCGCCAGGCCCACACCCATTGAAGGCTTGAGAGAGCCAGCCTGCAGGCGACCGATCGCCAGCCGTCCCTTGTACGTGTCTGCATGGGCCACACAAATGACACACACACATCAGCGGGCCGCGAGTGGTGTGGCGGCGGCGTGTGAGTGTACCGTAGTCGACATTAGCGATCATCATCTGCAGTGGGTTGCCCTCCACGACCACCGGGCCCGGCAGCTTGAGGATGGCCTCAAAGAGACACTCCATGTTGTCCTGCAGCTGGTCAGGCTCCCACCCAGACTGGCCTTTAAGTGCCGACGCGTAGATGGCCTGGAACTCCAGCTGCTCCTCGGACGCATCCAGGTCCAGGAACAAGTCGAAGGTCCTCTCAATCACCACCTCCGGGCGCGCCGCTGGCCGATCGCACTTGTTGACCACCACCACTGCCTCGCACCCCGCCTCCAGTGCCTTCTTGAGCACGAACCGTGTCTGCGGCTTTGGCCCCTCCACGCTGTCGACCACCAGCAGAACGCCATCCACCATATTCATGATCCGCTCGACCTCGCCCCCGAAGTCTGCATGGCCTGGCGTGTCGACGAGGTTGATCTTGGTGCCCTTGTAGTTGATGGCCGTGTTCTTGGCCAGAATGGTGATCCCCCTCTCTCGCTCCTGGTCATTGCTGTCCATGACGCGCTCCTGCATTTGCTGGCCCTCGCGGAAGACAGCCGCCTGCTGGAGCATCGCATCCACCAGTGTCGTCTTGCCGTGATCTACATGCGCGATGACTGCACTCAGACACAAACCGCACACACAGGCAGATGTAGCATGCGTCACGTCAGCAGGGCGTGGCGTGCATGGCTCGTTGGCCTACTGGCGATGTTGCGTATGTCTGCCCGCCTCTTGACCGTGGTCTCCTCGACTGTTTTTTCTGCCACGGCAGCAGGTGCTGCCATCCGCCAGTGCGGGCTCCTCCGATGCATGTTAGCCGAGATCCTCCCTGGCTGCATGGCGTGAAGGGGAGGCATGAACGCCGTCCTGCTGAGGCGCTGGAGACCCTGCGACAGCTGCACCACCGTCGCGCAAGCAAGAACCAGCCACCTTGGCCATGAGCAGAAGACTGACATGGTGACTAGAAGCAAGGTCAGCAAAAAGGCAGAAAGGCTGCAAGGCAAAAGGAGGGATGGCGCTGCTGGAAAAGGCAAGCGCGCAGCAATTTCAAGCTCGCGTTGTGAGCCCGGTTTGGAAGCCTTGCAGCTGCACGTGCTGAGGCAGGGGGAGGATGCAGATAGACAGGGCAGGACGCGAGGCACCAGCGCTCTGCAATCATTTTGAGTGACCTGTCTGCACGGCGAGTGCGCTGAGGCCTGCTGCAGTGTTCGGCAATCTCCATGCCACCGGGCTCCTCCTGGCTGCAGCACTGACGTCCACGCCAGCTGATGCTGATAGTAAGGACAAGATGTGCACACCGGCATCTCTCCCGCACAGCCCACATCCCGTCGTTCCACGCAACCACGCGCACTGGTTGGGCATTCACCGTGGTGCTCTCATCACGTTTGTGTGTGTCAGATGTCGTCTGATAGTAGGGCACGTCACCGGAGCGTGTCTTTCGATGCCGCCACAGAGCGCCGTCTGCTGCGCCAGGTGAGGGAGGCAGGGCAGCCCGAGACGGATCACGTACCAGCAGCGGATGGGTGTGGTTGTCTTTGTGGCATCCATCGTGCAGGATAGGGCTGGTCTGCAGGGCATAGTGAATCACCACCAGAAGCGAAGACGCCTTCCCGCCAAGGTGCGCTCCCTTCTGGCGGCCCTCGGCCGACCGACGCCTACTCTCAATTTCGAAGAGAAGGCCCTGCTGGCAGAGCTGGCACGGGATAAGTCGGCTGGCAGCCCCAAGCGAGGCGTGTGGGCCGCCAGTACTAGCGCCAGTGCCGGCGGGGACGCCGGTAGCGGTGGTGCCGCTGCTGCTCCTAGTGACGATGGTCGGAGTTTGACGGCGCCCGGCATCTTGTCGTCGATGGCGTCATTCGATAGCGCACTCGCGACATCGCTCAAGGAGACGGTGAGGGAGGAGCCACGGGAAGGGGAGGCGGGGAGCATCGCAGCTATTGTGTGGCAGCGGCAATGGGTCGTGCGTGTATGCTTCAGTTTGGCAGTGACACTCAGGGCTTACTGTCTTCTTGGTACGAATTCAGCAGACTTGGGTTTTTCTCCACACCATACCCCTGTAAGTAAAGTTTACACACACGTCACACTCGGCCAAGAGTACCGTGCTCGCGTCATCAATATGTGGGTGTGTGTATCTCAGATGACTTTGAGGTCGTGACGCGGAAGCGCAACGTCAACGTCATCAATCCTGCCGAGCCGAGGCAGCCTCGCAAAGTCAAGATGCCCTCCCGCTTCCGCAAGAGGTGCTCTGCGGCCCGGCCGCCACCTCATACGCACTGCACAGCAATGATGTGACTGCATCATTCATGTCCTTGTCGAGTCGATGGTGTCGGTATGTGTGCAGCACGGCCGTCCTGGAGAGTGGATACATGCGTGAGAGGAAGGAGGAGCACAAGGAGATCGAGCGCCTCGAGGCCGAGGCCGTCGAGGACATCACCCCAACCGTCACGTCCATGCAGACCGACGAGGACGAGGCCGTCCACCTACACCCCCAGCACCAGCAGCAGCAGCAGCACCAGCAGCAGCGAGGCGAGCTCACCGTCTCCCGAGGCAAGGTGACGTTGGTGTTGCAGAAGAAGCCACCAGGAGGATCGCGCGGCCTGTACCGCGGCACCACCGAGGAGGATATCCAGGCGGCCTTCGTCCTCAGCAACATGTCCCTTCCAGACGGCTGCGAGCTCTACCCGAAGGACGAGCATGCCGACCTGCTGGCAGCGGGGCAGGGGGATGGGCGGCAGGGGGGCGATGGCAAGAGGAGGCTGGCGCGCAAGAGCTCCGTCACGGACTCCCTGCCGCTGTCTCTATTTCTCGCCAGCAAGAAGCGCAAACTCAACAGGTAACAGACAGGCCACAACAACACGCCAGTGCTGCCTTCCTGCGTCTAAGTCTGTTGTCTGTGTATCGCTCGTGCAGGCCTGTGCTCCATTCGGGTGGCGGGAAGTCGCCTCCGTACCGGTCTGCAGCCGCCCCTCCTGCACCCGTCCTTCCCGTCCCGCCCGTGCACACGGCGTGCGGCGTGCCGATGTCCACTCGCGCCCAGGCAAGGCAGCAGGTGGTGGCCACGGCCGGAGGGCACTCATAGACAAATGAGTGAGTGGCTGAGGGATGGCTGATAGATATGCAATGCAATGCGTGAGTGTATGTATGCCAATGTGTGGTGTGTTTGTCGCTTGAGAGGCTGCCCTGCCTGTGTATAGCCTTACCTACTTGCATGACGATGGTGTGATGGTGTGGTCTGTGCTGCGATTGCTCGGGTGACTGACACATCGTCAGTCGCCCTGTTTGGGTGTGTTTATGTATGGATAGTGTTTCTCGGCTGACATGGCTGGCGTGGTGATGGTCTGTCTGTCTGTCTGTCTGTTTGGGTGGCTGCGTAAAGATGGGCGTGAGTGGCTGGCTGCTGCCGTGGATTTACTTGCCTGCCTGCCTGCCTGCCTGCCTGCAAGCGTGGATATGCTGGTGAGTACTCACACGCTCATGTGGTGCATGTCTTGCTGGCTGCGTGTGGTGTGGTGTTTCGTGGGAACTGGATGTTGCGATGGCCCGAAAATGATGCACTCATCGATGGCTGTTGAGTAAGGGCTTATCATGATCAGTCAGTCGGCAATCCAATCGCTTGCAAATATGTACTGCACACAGAAACGTACAGACATCGTTGGCACATACGTACACGTTGACACGCACCAGATAGAGGCAACCAAAAAGGGAGAGTGACGAGATGGGTTACTCGGCTGCTGTGCTCGTGGCTGCCCTCGTGCTCCTGTCGTCTTCCGCCGATGCCACTCTGCCTGTGGTGGCCAGCGATGGACCGATTCAAAGTGAGCCGCTTCCTGCACTCGCCGCACCTGACCTGCAGCAGCTGGCAGACAAGAAGTTCGGCCGCCGTCGCTCACCGATCGTCCGCTATCCCTCGCCGCCACACGAAGCGCCTCAGCAGGAGGCGCTCAAGAAGAAAGTGATAAAGAAACGAGGTAAGAAATGGGGGAGACACACACATACAGCTGAGACGAGACATGCACTGGGTAGTCACCCTCCATCATGCAATTGTTCAGCGATTGGCCAGCCCCTGTTCGACGAAGGCGTGAGACATGCAACACACATACAGACACATACAGGCTGCGTGTGTGTGTGTGTGTGTGTCAGCCGTCTGCGCCCATTCTCTTCCGACTACCAGAAACCGTGACGCCAGAATATGACCCAGAGTGCGGCAAGGCAGTCGAGAAAAAGGTGAGGCTGCTTCCAGCTTGTGTGTCTCTGGTGACGAATCATTTGGTGCCTATCATGTCAGGTGAAGCAGGACGAGCATCGAAGACTTGTTGAGCACGTGAAGGCGGAGCGGAAGTTGCGCAGCCGTCCTGTTATCGAAGCAGCGCTGGGAGAAGACTGAAACACAGAAAGACAGCAGGCTCGAGGTGAGACAAAGACGGATAGTCCGCGACGCTCACACAACACGCCACACTGATTGATGACAGGACTCATCGATGGACCACAGGCAATGCGCATGAATGAATGTTCGCTTCATGACATGATGCACAATGAATGAATCTTTGAGCGTGCATCCTTCACGCTTTATCATGTCTGTCCTTGACTGACTGGCTGATCAACTGTACACTAGCTAGTGCGATAAACTAAGTATGGAAGACACAACTTGACGCCAATGCACGTACGTTAGGTCGTGTTTTCTGCCCTGTCCGGCCATGCAGGATCCGGAGTGGCCAGTCACCGTGACCTACTCGATCATGCGCATGATCGAGTAGGTGACGTGACTAGTCACTCATGCCACCGGACAGCGACAGAAAACAATTGACAGCTGCTGCACACAGCTCTCCCTCCCCCCTGCCTCCCAGCTTGCCTGCCCGCCTGCCTGCCTCCCTCCTCCATGCCGTAGAAGCGTGTCCAGCACAAATCGAACGACACGCCCAGCCGGTCACTCGCCCTCATCTGAAAGTTCATCGGTCTCGAGCGCCTCAAACCGCTCAGCAGCAGCCAACACCGAATGAGCGGTCTCCATCTGAACAAGTTAGTGACAACACAGACGCATACCCACGTGGGACGTACACAAAAACATGGATGCGATGCGATGCACCCTCCCTCCCTCCCTCCCTCCCTTCCTCCCTCCCTCCCAGCCTCTCTCGCCACCCACTTTCCCACCTGTGTGCGTGTGAGTTTCTCAGGCTGCTGCTCGACGTAGTCGTTGTCGTTGCTGCCTTTGCCGGTGACCGGTTGGTGCAGCTCCTTCATGCTCTCTGTCTTGTCGTCCTGCAGCTTGCGGCGGATGATCTGCAGCACCGCCCTGTCGGTCTTGCGCTTCAGCTGTCCGAGGCGCTTCTCCACGTCACGCTTCAAGTCCCAGTTGGCCTTCTTGGGCAAGATGCGACTCAACGCATCCTGTCGAGTGACACACAGCAACACACACGGGCGAGGTGATCTTGTGCGTCTGTCCTGCCTGCTCTCACCTCTGTCTGTCCCGCCTCGATGACTTCCTGGATCTCCTCTTCGATGCGCTTCTCGATTGCGTCCACGACAGGCCGCTTCATGCAACCCTTGCGCAGCGCTGGCATTCGGGGGATGTAGTTGCGGAACTTGATGGGACGCGCCGACTCGTCCTCGTCCTGCTGCTCGTCCTCATCGGGGTCCTTCATATCCTCGTTGTTGTCATCTCTCGTCTCGAGTTGGCCATTCACCTCCGCCGCCTTGTGGCCATTCATCTCCTCGTCAGCCATGCTGTTTGCCCCGCAAATGCAGGAGGAGGTTGGTTGGTTGGTTATTGTGTTTAACGGAGGGGGTTGAGTGAAGCAATTTCAAGCTCGCATCCGGGCACTCGGCTGCTTTTGCATGTTCCTGAGGCCGAAATGACGGCACTGCTAGGCTTACTCGTCGTATTGCTGCTTGCTTTCAATGCTGAATCGACTTCCTTGACTCACTTTGATGCACGAGAGCCCAAGTACTGTTCGACATGCCTGGGCCGGTTCATCCAGGTCGGCAGAAGCACAGAGAGCCGCAGCCACCTGTGTCTGCATTGCCTGCATGCTATGCTCTTTCTATGGAGTGAATGTGAAACGGCACGAACAAACACCAACACACCTTCATGCTCTCTCTTGTCGTCTCGTTCTCGTTTCAGGACCACGACTACCCCGTGGAGAGCGACCACTTCGTCGCCACTGCAGATGACTATATCCTTCGCCTCATCCGGCTGCCAAACAAGGGTCGGCCTGTCATCTTTCTCAACCACGGCCTGTTCGCCTCTGCGTGGTGCTGGTTCTGGAATGCACCGCAGGCCGCCCCAGCAATGCTGCTCCACCGGTCTGGGTTCGATGTGTGGATCAGCAACAGCCGAGGCACGGTCTTCTCACGCAACCACACGCGGCTACACGTCGAGAGTGAGGAGTTCTGGTCATTCACATGGCAGGACATGGCCGAGTTCGACGTGCCTGCGACCATCCAGTACATTCTCAACGAGACTTCTCAGGACGACCTGATCTATGTGGGTCACTCCCAAGGCACCACACAGATGCTGGGGGCTCTCACACCGCTGGACAACGGAGGGCTGCTGCACACGTCGGAGGGCCGTGCCGGGCAGTGGGGCCCGAGTGACCTGCTCGAGCACCGCGCGGTGCGGCTGTTTGTCCAGCTGAGCCCCATCGCGTTCGTGCGGCACCTGAGCAGTCCGCTGGCCGCTCTGCTCGGCCAAGTGAGGGCGGCGTGGGAGCTGAGGGGGCTCGGCATGAAGGCCTTCCCTGCAGATGGAGCGGTACCCATGCTGACATGACATATGGATAACAGCTCACCTCACTCTGTCTGTGGCCCGTGTTTGTGTTCAGGAGGCGCAGTTGTTGCGTGAGGGTTTGCGTCTGTTTTGCCAGGCGATCGGGAGCTGTCCGTGTCTGCAGTTTGTGCGGCTGCTGCTGGACAGCTCTGTGCGCCACGACAATGCGAGCGATGTCGACTGGTCCTTTACCTGGTTCCCTGATGCGGCCAGCGTGCAAGACCTGGAGCACTTTGAGCAGCTCTACCTGCATGGCCGCTTCAGCGCCTTCGACTACGGCTGGATTGGCAACCGACGGCATTACCACCAATGGCATGCGCCTTCATTCCTACTTGACAAGTGGCCTGCGTCAGTCCCTGTCGCCCTTTTCAGGTACCATTGCAGGCAATGCATTCAATGACAGCGGCTGTCCGGCCATGCATGCCATCTTGTGGCCATACGGGTGGGTCGTCTGTGTCGTGTGTGGTTGGTGCCTTGGCGTGCAGGGCGGGCGTCGATGAGCTTTCGTCAAAGCAGGACGTCGACAGGTTGAAGGCAGCGCTGCCCAGCGGCTCTGGTGAGTGAGGCGACCAACGAAGACTGATGGCTTCCCACGTCGGTGCACCACGTATGTGTGTCTCTTCCCTTCCTCCCTTCCGTGTTGTCATTTTCAGTTGTGTATGATAGAACGTATGATGGGTTCGGGCACATCACATGGCTGATGGTACGATGGCACACACGCTACACTCGCTGTCGACACCAGCCTGATGGGCACACTCAGGTGGACGGCTGTTTCGGTGTGTGTGTGTGTGTGTGTGTGTGTCAGGGCACCAACGACACACACCATTGGATGAAGGATCTCTTAGACCTCTGCAGACAGTATCCGCCACGGCAGCAGCAGAAGACCGTCTACATTTAATCCATCCATCCATCCATGGGTGCAGACGGACAGACAGACAGACAGGCGAACAGGCAGGCAGGCAGCTGGTCTTCCGTTTTTCCCCTCTACCCGCTGCCCTTTCTGTTTTTTCCCCTTCGTAGACGCCCCAAGCCATAGATTGTTTATGCCTTTCCTACGGTACCGAGGCCGTCCTTTTCCTTCCCTCCCTCAGACGGAGGTCTGATTTAAAGGCCGAGGTGTACACTGACTGACTCCATTGCAACACCCATTTTTCTCGCCGTCTCACTCACCTGCATGTCATGTGTGGCTTGCTTGAATGAATTAGTAACGCTCCTGCCTCCCTCCCTACCTGTCTCCCTCTCTGCCTGCCTGCCTGCCTGCATTCATTCATTCTCGAGTGGCCGGGAGCTCAGCTGTGTGCTCAGCAATGCTCCCTCCCTGTGTACAGTCGTCCTGACAAGAACCAACACACACATCATGATGCATGGGTGTATGGGTGTGCACACCTGTAATATGTGTAGTATGTGTGCCTCCTCGCCGCGTCGCACCGCGACGAGGGGACCGATTGGATTGGCTGCCATCCCATACATCAACCATGACGCTGACGGAGGTGTATACATACATATCTATCGAGATGCTCGGCGGTGGACCACATGGCAAGTCAAGTGCATCCATCTTCTTGCCATGGTGAAGTGCATTCAGTGAGTGACGAATGACGTGACGTGCTTTGTCGTGTGAATGTCCATTGGGTTTGACTCTGGTTGAGCGTCTTGTGGTTGTTCCGTGGGTGCGGTGCGGTGCTTTGCGGTGGGGTGCACATGATTCATTGGGAAGGAAGACACTGGGGGCAGACAGACCGGCAACCCAATCATATCGACACCCATATAGACTGAGGCCATCGAGGGTGCATTCGACTTCGACTTGGCCTCAGTCCACGTTGATGCATCCAACACACACACTATCAGTTTAGGAAAAAACGCCCGTTTGGGGGACACCACACATGATGACTTTATTTCCCATACACGGCCACAGAAATGGCCAGGAAACTCAATCAGTGTACGTGTACGAGTATGCATCCCGCCCATCCCCCACCCATCCTCCCACCCCACACCTTCATTAATCGAATCGCATGTCTTTGCGCGTCTCAAAACACCAAGACCAGACAGCGAATCGACCGATTGAAATTCACGCAAACGACGCAGCGACACATCGACACCAATGCGCATTGCAAATAAAGAGCAGATGATGAATATATCCCAGCCCTCCCCCCCTCTCCCCCCCTCTCTCCTCCCCTCGGCTCTGCTCAGGGTGACGGCACAGTGACTCCCAGGACGTCTGAAGCAATCTCGCCGACGTTTTCGATGCCCAGGATGGCGGCAAAGTCGGGGACGAGGATGTTGTCAGGAAGAATCCCACTCTCCCACACGTAGGTGAAGTTGTCCACGGTGATGGAGTAGAGGAAGTCCACACCAACACCCACACTGCTCGTCTCCACCTCGGCGGACCCCTGGGGAACGCCGTCGTCGCCCACACCGGCACCGATCTGGGCGTAGACCTTGCCCAGCCGGCCGAAGCCTACTTGGCCGAATATCCCCGGGCTTCCGTCGGGGTCATCGTCGGGGAAATCGCCGTTGAGCACCAGTTGGCTGAGTGGAGAAACGCAGCAACAAGCTAACGTCTTGTCTAAATGCGTTGATGTCTGTCACTGCTCACATTGAAAGTCAGTCTCTCTTTCGTCAAACTCTCTGAGCACGGAGAAGTGCCTCCCCAGTGTGCCGACGCTGACGGCGTACTCGGTGTCGTTGACGTCCGCACCGACGGCGAGTGAGGTGCTCTTCCAGCCCACAAACACCTCGGTGGCCAGCTCCTCATCGTCGTTGGTCGAACGGTCCTGCACGTCGTCGAAGCCATGCCGCACGGCCACCTCCACAGCTGTCTGGGCGTCGTCGAAGTCACGGTCGACTCTCTCACCGTACGGGCCGTAGAAGACGCCCACACCGCCTTGAATGCCCGATTCGTCGGTCGACACGGACAACTGGGCCTTCCCGAACCCGACGTCGGTCGATGCCTCTCGGTCTTCGAGGCCGACACCCACACCCACGTAGCCGTAGTCATTCCCCACCTGCACGGTCGTCTCTCTCTCCTCGAAGTCGCGGCCCCACGTGACCGCCCAGTTGTCGTACGCAATCTCGTTCGACACCTCTTTAATCGGCTTGCCGCCCAACTCTTTGTCGGGATCGAATCGAAGCGTGTGCCCCGCCCCGATGCAGCGCTGCGGCGCTTCGGACGATTCCCAACCCCCTCGTTGCCCACACGGCGCTGCCAAGGCCACCCCCGACCGGCAGCCAGATCCAGCATTTCTTCCCCCATCCTCGAGAAGATGGTAAGCGGCGAATCGCAATCGCCAGCCGCCCCTCATGTCGTTGCGCGTGTTCCTGGCTGCCTCGATCGCGAGCCGCCCTCAATCCGCTGACGAAGAGGTCGGGGCGGCGGTGCAGCAGGCCGTCGGAAGAGCCGGCAGACCTCACCCCCCCCTGACGGCCGACAACATCTGCACGACGTACATAATGGCGATGTATCCACAATGCGAAGACGCGCCGGCGGCCGAAGAGCTGCGCACCTGCACGTGCACCCCCAGCGAACCGCTGGCACGGATCATCCGCGGCTCCTCGAGGGCCACAATCCGGCAGCCGCTGCCGATGAAATGAATGGACGGCTGCTAATGGCTTCATGCTTGGACGAATGAACGGATGGACCGATGGGTGGACGGACGGACGGATGGGCGGGGGGGATGGAATGAGCTGTGCGTGCACCGAATGCACCGCATCCCGGGCCGACGAACGTTGGGGCTGCTCGGGGGGGCTGAGAACGGCCGCCGCGACTGACGCACCCCACTGCAGGCACACCCTTGGACGGCAACACACCTACAGTCATGACAATTGTCATGACACGGGAGCGTCAAATGTACCCTTCCTTGCCCATAGTGCCTCAATGCAACCTACCTCACGGTTTCCCTCCGCCGGGGCGTCTCATCGGCCGCGGACTAAGCAAACCAACAGTCAGGACGCACCACACACATACACACACAAACAGATGATAGACAAATGCACCCCCGTCATGCTGTGCGTGTGCCTGCAGCCTACCACCGTCACATCATCACGGCTGTCGGTGACCCCCACAATCTGCAGAACATGAATGGCCACCTCCCCGATGGCCGATGACCACCCCATCGTCCGTGAGGGCGCCACGAGCCCCTTGGACGGCAACACACCTACAGTCATGACACCGAGCCTCAATGACACGGAAGGCCCAAAGGCCCAAATCCCTCTAGTTGCCCGTGGCGGTCTACCTCAATCCGCCGGGGCGCCTCATCGACCGCCGACTAAGCAAACCTGAAGTCATGACACACCACACATACACACACGAACAGATGAGGAACAAATGCAGCCCCGTCGTGTTGTGCTGTGCGTGCAGCCTCGCAAGGCATCCGTCCTGGACTGCCGTCGACAGAAAGGGAAAGTACATGTACCTGCACCGCACCAACGACAGACAGCACCAGCCAATCCACCCATGGCATGGAGGGGAGGGGAGCAGCCACCCAGCCAGTGTCAGTGTCTGTTAGTATACTGACCAGTCTGGAGCATACCGTCGAGAGCGAGAGTGTTGAGACCTCACGGGATGCCCATGATCACGGCTGTGATATGCACCATCTGGAGAACATGAATGGCCACCTCCTCGATGGCCGACGACCACCCCATCGTCACAAGCACCGTCCGCAGCACCGTGCAGCGCCGATTTCAGCGTTTCGGGCCAGAGAGAAAGACGACAGGGATCGTCCAGCAGCTAGCAGTCCTCTTGTGGAGTGTGGCGATTGCGAGAAGGGCGTCGACGACGTCAACACCGATCCTCCGCGCATCTTACGTGGCCTGCCGCTGTGCTACGTGCTGTGCTTGCCGACTGCTCGCCCTGTCGCCCACGCCGCCGCCTCTGTCAGCCAGCAGCCGAGCAGCAGCAGACCGCCACCACATCGCTGCGGCTGGTCCGCCACCTGACACAGACAAAGAGAAGGAGAGGAGCCGTTGCAGCGACCAATGGCGGTGTTTCTCGCCGCCTGGCGGCTGGCTGGCCTGTCTGTGACTCCCAGCTCCCTTCGGACGGCAGATCCAGTGTTTGTTAGCACTTTAAATTTCTTGGCTGTCTCGGCGAGAAAAAAAACTAAACTCGCTTCAGGCTGGCTGTGTGTGGAGCATTGCAGGCCACGAGGACCGATCAACCGCCTCATTCAGGTACAGAGGAGCGACGAACCACCACAGTTAATACGAATCGACTGCAAGCTTGGTTCAGGTGACCTCGTGGCCCCCACGAGCGAGCCCCCGACTTTTTCCGCAGCGAGATGGACGACCTCACCACTGTCAACCTCGCACAACAGCAGGAGTTCCACCACGGTGACTTCACCAACGTCTCCCAACTCGAGCAGCCCCAGTCGCAGCAGCCGCAGGACGGACTCCCTGACGCCATCGGCGCGGGAGGAGTGGGTGGGGTGGGTCCTGATGAAGGCCCACCGCCTGAGCCGGCGCCGGCTCCCGAGCCACCAGCAGACGCGGCGGCCCTTGCCCGACTGCTCGTTGGTTCACTAAGCGAGACCGGCCGCCAGATGCTCATGAACGGCATCTTAGAGGAAGGGTTGGGTGGCGAGGACCCACGCGAGCAGGAGGAGCTTCACACAGACACAGCGGGCGACTCGGAGGTCAGAATTAATGGAGGAATGCTGACTGACGTCACAAATGCGTCAATCAATTTCTCCCTGTCTGTTTCCGTCACATGTCTGTATGCAGGCGCCGTCTCTCCCCGCAGCGAGGCCGGCTGAGGCGGACACACCCGAGAGACGTGCCCTCTCCATCGACACCAGACCACCAGGTACCTCAACCAACACATGGCACTCTCGTGCTGCAACTACATACGCTGCTCTGTGTGTGTCTGTGTATGGTGTGCTGCAGGCATGCCCGCCCCCCACCATGACGTGAATCTGCGAGACCGTGTTGAGTGGATGGAGGACTGGGAGGGTGAGAACTGGGAGGACAGTGGCGGCTTGGGGGCCGAGCACACGGGGCTGGACACACCGCGACCGGCCATACCGCGGCCAGCGGCCCAGGTGCAGGGGAACGAGCGACTCACCAGGCAGAGCGATGCGTTGGACATGTTCTACCCACAAATCAGAGACGCCAACCTGGTCAGTGAGGGTGGGAGATGACACAGGAACACCGCCCACGGTGTCCAGTGGATGGATGAGAGTGTGTGTGTGTGTGGCAGGAGGGTCATCCTGTCTGGGTTGATACTACGATGGCATTGGTGGCGTATGACCTGATCGACCAGGAGATCAATCGCTGCGTCGTGGCTGCCGTCCGGGAGGCACACCTCAACCATCAGGGAACGGTACGCAACCACGCCACTGACGGCATCGATCTCGCCGCATGGCCACGTGAGCCTTCCCATGTGTGGCTATGATGTCGTCTGTGTGTATGTCAGTGGCATCGTTTGCCGATCCAATGCACGGCCAATATGGCGACAGGCGTATTGGAGTTCTTGCTGGAGACCTTCGGAATAAGTGAGGTCAGATGCTCGGCCAATACACGCAACACTCACATGAGCCTCACTCTCGAATGTCTCTCGTCTTGTGCTGTGGCTGATCAGATCACTCGTTTGACGACCGATTTCTCTCACCGCTATGTGATGTCTCAGTCGTCATCGGCCCCGCCGGCCCCGCCGCTCCCCGCCTGTCTCCGCATCAACTGGAAGGGCCTCGTCAACCACTGCGTCAGCTCCCGAAGGCGCCTTCAGGAGATCGCCGAGCGAAAGTCCAGGCAATGGCGCGCAGGCCAGTCCGAATGCCCCCCAGCGTGGTGCGGCCGTCTCTCCCCCGAGTGGGATGACATCACGCGGAAGCAGCTCAACGCGCCAGCCTACGAGAAGAGGGGTCGTGGGGGCCGTCGTCTGCTGCGCGACTATGACGAGTATGGCGATGAGGAGGACGAGGGGGTTGAGAGTTCGGCGATGGTCCGTGCTGCCGCTGAGGCGAATGTGAGTCCGACCAAGAGCGAGCAGGTGCTGCCCGTCCTGGCGGTGGACAAGCCCTTCATCAACCTGGTGCTCTCGCTCACGGAGGCACTCATCAACCAGGTAGGTGCAGACATCAATCACATCACATTCGACAATGACGGCGTCTGTCCATCCATCCATCCATCTCGGTGCCTGCCTTTGTTTGTCTGATTCGCTCAGTATCGAACACAGATCACCAACCATCCAGCTCGCCCATTCTACAAGCAGTGGAACCACATCAAGGAAGAGGTGAGTGAGTGTATGTCGGGGGCAAGGCAAGGCAGTGAAGAAAGAAGAGAGACAAGGAAGCACTCGTCCATCTCGTAAATCCATCCGTGCCGTTTGGTGTTCTTATCGATTTATGTTCGTGTAGTTGATATCCTGCATGAAGCCGGGCGACGACGAACCCAGAATATGGGCGGCCGCAATGGGACAAGGTGAGCAGACTAGCCAGCCACTGCACTGCACACCGCATTTCATTTGGGGCCTCACTTCTCTCTCTGTCTCTCCCTCTCTGTCTGTGTGTCGGTGTGCGTGTGTGGCTGTGTCTGCAGATGAGGCGGGCAGACATGGCGCCAGCATTGGCCGCACCATGGAGCCTTCCCTGGAGATGCGGCCGTTCAGAGAGGATCAGACCAGCGACTGTAAGTCAGTCATATCGACCATGCACCCATCCAATCCACAACACACACACCATGGCTCCGCTGTCTCTGTCTCTCTGTTGGTGTATCCTCCTTCCGTGTGTCAGACAAGGACGTGTGGTACGAGTATCGCGACATCGAGGCCACCGCACTGAAAGATGCCGTTGCCAACGAAATATGGAATGTAAGTCAGTCACTTCACTCTCACTCTCTGACTGACACCAATGCATGAATCCATTTGACATGTGTGTCAGTACCTGGTTACCGAGTTGTGTTGGGAAATGTGGGATATGGAGGAGCCTGACCCTCAAGCGGCCGTCGCTGGTCGGGAGAAGGTGGCCCTGTTAAAGGAGAATCTGATAGGGGCGATGGTGCAGCGGGGCATCCTGCCGAGGATCAAGGTGAGCTGCTTTGTGGGGTTGGGATTCATTCACTGCTCTGTGTGTGTATGTGTGTGTCGGGCTGATTGCTGTGTGCACAGGCGGAGCTGCGGTTTCAAGTCTTTCAGATGATGAGTCGCATTCCGCCGACAGTCGACAACGAGCGGGCAGAGGTCGGCGAGCCACCGGAACTCCCGCAAGAGCAGCAACAACAGGAGCACCCTGGTGCTCAGCCGCAGCCCACTGCTGCCGCATCGAAGCAACCCCAAGCTCCCGCTGCAGCGGCAGCTGCTGCTGCTGGTGGTGCCGGTGCTGGTGCTGAGCAGCCTGAGATGAGCATGTCCATCGACGGCCTCGTATGTTCTCCCACACGGTCGATGCAGTCGGCAGCCCCTCCCCCGCCCGCCCCGGCGGTGCAGTCGGCAGCCCCTTTGGTGCAGTTGGCAGCCCCTTCGGTGCAGTCAGCCCCTTCCCCGCACGTGCGGCTGGACCTCAACTTTGTCCAACAGGCGTTGGCCCGGGTGCGACAGCACAACCCCACTGCTGACGGCCAGACAGGGAGGTCAACGGGCGAAGCCCAGGCCCAACAGGACGCTCCTGCGGTGCCTCCACCTTTGGGCCAGCCAGCGGCCATGACCAATTCGCAGCTGCCCTCCCCACTGCAGCACTCGGACGACAACCGGCCCGTTCTCTCACCAGTGCCGCCATCGAACTCGCTGCCGAAGAGGGACATACGGCTGAGCGAGCTGGCTTGCGCGGATCATGTGGGCGATAGCCTGGAGCTGGAGCTGAGTGCGTCGTTTAACGACACCATCGCGGGCAACATGCGCGAGATCGCTCCAGCGGCTGCGGCTGGGGGCGGGCAGGGCATTGAGGAGAGCACTGTAGTGGGATCTATGGGAGCCAGAGATGTCAATGGTACGCAACGAGCCACACGCATGGCCACGCAGCCATCTCGATTGTGTGTGTGTGTGTGTGTGTGGATCAGATTTCCCCCACCCGCGTCACACTCGTCTGCCGCCTTTGGACATGGACGTGATTCTGAGCCTCACGCAGCCTGAGGGTGCCGCCGGGCCATCCTCAGGCATGGACAGGGAGGATGACGACAGCGGCGGCCAGGAGGGCGATGACGATGGCGCGGACGGGTCAGCTGAGGAGGAGGCGCGCATCGAGCGTTTTCTGCGCGACGAGGGCTGCGACAGGCGCTCGTCGACCATCGCCCGGGAGCACGGGCTGAAGAGCAGGGTGATGGGTGACGAAGAGCGCCACGAGAGGGCGCTGAGGTACTACGGGGGGCCTGCTGGTCGGGAGAAGGTGGCGGTGTTGAAGGAGCACGTGATACGGGCCATGCAGCGGGGCATCCTGCCGAGGATCAAGGTGAGCTGCTTTGTGGGGTTGGAATTCATTCACTGCTCTGTGTGTGTATGTGTGTGTCGGGCTGATTGCTGTGTGCACAGGCGGAGCTGCGGTTTCAAGTCTTTCAGATGATGGGTCGCATTCCGCCGACAGTCGACAACGAGCGGGCAGAGGTCGGCGAGCCACCGGAACTCCCGCAAGAGCAGCAACAACAGGAGCACCCTGGTGCTCAGCCGCAGCCCACTGCTGCCGCATCGAAGCAACCCCAAGCTCCCGCTGCAGCGGCAGCTGCTGCTGCTGGTGGTGCCGGTGCTGGTGCTGAGCAGCCTGAGATGAGCATGTCCATCGACGGCCTCGTATGTTCTCTCACACGGTCGATGCAGTCGGCAGCCCCTCCCCCGCCCGCCCCGGCGGTGCAGTCGGCAGCCCCTTTGGTGCAGTTGGCAGCCCCTTCGGTGCAGTCAGCCCCTTCCCCGCACGTGCGGCTGGACCTCAACTTTGTCCAACAGGCGTTGGCCCGGGTGCGACAGCACAACCCCACTGCTGACGGCCAGACAGGGAGGTCAACGGGCGAAGCCCAGGCCCAACAGGACGCTCCTGCGGTGCCTCCACCTTTGGGCCACCCGACGTGACGGCACCGCACCCACGACCAGCACCAGTACCAGCACCAGCAGCGCCTGCATCTCAGCCGCCGCCACCGGCGTCAGAGCAGCGCGACCAGCCGCCACAAGAAGCACCACAGCAGGGAGACGAGCAGTCACAGCGCCCCGCCGAGAGTCAGGAAGCTGCCGAGGAGAGTCCGGCTGGGGGAGAGGGTGAGGAGGATGCCCACCTGGACGAGCCCCTGCCCTTCTATTCTGACCTGCTCAGCGCCATTGCTCGATCGCCGGAGGTATCGGAGAGGTTTCTTCTGTCGTGCGCCGGTGTGGACTTCCAGTCGCTGACGGATCTGCCCGACGAGCCCCGCCGCGAGATCCTCCAGACACAGCTCGACACCATCGACCGCCAAGACATCATCAGAAAGCGAGACCAACGACGGCAGAGGCAGAGGCAGCAAACACAGGCACCACCACCACAACAGGTAGAGAAGAACGGGACGGGTATGTATCAGAGGTATGTAATGTTTCCCCCCCATGTCTGTGTGTCCACATCTGTCTGTCTGCAGGTGGAGGAGCCGCCCGAGGCCTCAGAGGGCAGACCACCAACCCACACTCAGCCTTCAGGTCCCCGCCCCGCCGTGGCATTCGGCAGCAACAGTCCCCAATCAAGTCAGCGCCTCTCCTTGACCCACCAGCAGCCCCTGTTGCCCATGCAGCTGTCGCCCGCCGCTGCCGTGGGGGGGAGCCCATTGGCAGCTGGGCGGGTGAGGGGCGAACCGCGTCACTGTGAGGCGAGAGCGGACAGGAGAGCGCCTGTCCGCAGCGGCAGACCCCAGGCGCCCCAGCCCGTCGCTCCAGCGCGTCCTCGTCGTGTCCGCGAGGTGACGGGCAGCGAGGGCTTCCTGAGGTCAACCGTCAGCTCAAGACTGAAGGAAGTCCACCGCGGCTGAGAGGTCATGACTGTGGTTTGTGGTGAGGGCTTTTGATTTAGCGGGCGGAACGATTAGTCGGATTTGGGAGGGATTTGATGGTTTTGCTTCTAGTGCTCTGATAGCATGACAGACAGCAATGGATTTGATTGACTGATTGAATGCATTCACACATACATCCATGGGATGACTAACTACATGAACGCCACCCCAATCGTCCTCACAGGCCACGACAAATGTCAGTCACCCATAGGAAAAAACGCCCGTTTGCCGGGGGACACCACAGACCAC